GGGGGGTAGGCCAGCTCACTTCATGCAGAGCAGGCAGTCAAGAGGAACGACAGGCAACACCAAATGTCTTATTAATCTGCTAATTTGTTGTGACTGCGGGGCATAAAAAGCTTGTTTTCTTGCCATCTGAGGCCAAAAGGAACCACTGACATGTTACTTACAGACACACACACACAGAAGCCAGCAGATTTTCCCGCCCGCTATTTGCCCTACTTTTACGAGCGGTGGCGGCAGAAAATAAAGAATGGCTCTTGATCTCTTCCATGAAAGCATCACCAGGGACGAGCATCTGGCAAAAAAACAACAACCAAAAAAAAAACAACGAATGAAAAATGAAATGAAGAGTGTTGTTTCCAAAACTTAACAAACCAGGTGGCCAAGTAGGTAAGCATGATGCCTTCTTTAGCCTTCAGCGTTTCATAAATGGAGGCATCAGTCTCGCAAAACCGAGTCTGGGAGGAAACTATCATGCAGTCGAGCTACAAGCAGAATGAAAGCAGGCATGGGATGAATAAGAGAGAGCAATCAAAGTCTTAGAAAAGCTGAGGTTAGGGACACTTCTCAGTCAAGCGCACAAACATAAATGGTTTAATAGACAAAACTTGTCTACTAAAGTATTAATGATGGCTCTCACCTAAACACTGGGAAAATCACTGATAAAACAATGTCATTAGATTCGATTTTCTTTTGCTACTAATGATGCAGAAAAAGAAAATTTGAGTTCAACTCTGGTGCATATTAAAACACCGTTACAGGGAAATGAAATAATGCCCGTTAAACCAGAAAGAATCCGGAGATTTGGACGAGAAAGAGGCTTCCGAGTCTTTTCAGCACCGACATTTTAATTTGCTCCACAAAGACTCCCCAGCTGTGTTACAAGCAGGAGCCTGGCTAATTGAGGTCAATTCGCTTTTTACTGGGACTCCGGCACTTGAGCTGAAGGCCTTGATGGTGAGAGAGCACAACTAATCGACTTTCTTTCTTCCCGGAGCTGTTGTACAAAATTATTATAGATTCAGGGAAAATAAATAAATAAGCCCGTGCTGGGGCTCCTTTGTTGCTTGAGGTTTACCGGAAAAAAAGAAAAAAACCTAACAAACAAAAAAACAACAACAACAACTTGGCCTTCACGCTGAAATGCAATTTCACGAGCTCCTCGACAGGAGACAACCATCCACTGTGCTGCAACAATGGCTGACCGCCTCCGTTACCACCCAGCCGACCGGTGTGGAACAACGGAGAGGCAGGAAAGGTGGCAGGTAATTTAAAGAGGAATGGATGCGGGAAACCTTCCCTTTTTTAGCGGAGCGGTCTCCACCAACCGTGAGCTCCTCTCTGACACCGCAGGGCTCCTCCACAGACACAGCAGCCGGGAGCACATGCTAGCAGCAAAGCTTAAATACGACTGTGTTATGAATTAGCTCTGGTGATTGTAATAAAGAAGTATCTTGTCTGGGGAAAAAGAGGAATCGTGATGTGATGATCTGGTTAGGGATGATGGAAATGTGTTTGAGTGGAGCTGAGAACATTCGAGTTAGGGTTAGGGTTATGGTAAAGGTTAGAGTCGTGTGTGAAAAAAAAAAGTTATTTTAAAAAACCGCCGCGTGTCCGCTGAGAGTTGCGGCGCTCCAGCTGTTGGGATCCAGTCTCCCTGACTTGTGGAGGACCCCGGCTCCCACTAGTGCAGCGTGCCGGGCCCAGAGGTGGTGAGGCGACACGGCGAGGGGACGGCAGGGACGGGGAGCGGGCCGACGGCGGGGGACACAGAGAGCGGCGGGAGGTTAGGGCCGGACCCCCGCGCAGCTGCTCTCGTTCTTCAGGGAACCCAGGCGGGAAGCAGCGCTCAGGCGCTTAATTCCTCTAACGCGTGCAGTCATGCGACGCGCAAGGTGGGGGCGAGGGTGTTCGGAGGGGGGGGCAGTGAGGATCCCGCGACTCCTCAGTTATGCCAGAGACCGGGGTTGGGGGACCAGCTTGACTGGGCCCGGACCGCTGGCCTCTGGCCACTGGGCACCGGGCGGCAGGGGCTGTGCCGGGACGGCCAGCGAGACCAAAAGAGATGGCGCCCACCACCCTGGTCGGCCGCAATCTGTTAGGAGAACCCTGAGCATGCCAACACACAGCAGGGGGAGGTGAGGGATCTCCATGGTTGACTAACTGGGTGAGGAGGGCTCAGGTGGTCTGAGGGGGGGGGGGGGACATATCTCTGGAAATAGAGAGCCTTGCTGGTCATATATCACTAAGACAGTCATCTTTTGTGATATCAAACAAACCCAGTAAAACCCAAGTAGCCCAATAAACCCAATTAATGTTCAATAAAAAATTTAAATAAAGGTTTTCCTTTCATTCTCAGTGACGCTGCTCTTTAAACCTTTACTGTGGCCTACGAAGGGGGAGGAAATATGCCTCTAAAGAGGAGGTAACCACTACCACCAGGGGGAGTGGATGCTCTATGGTGAAGTGCTGGAATTCAGGATTTTGTACAACTTTTTTTTTCTTTTTTCTTTTCACCATTTATGTTGATTCCGCTGAATAACGGAAAGCCTTTGTTGAACTGCCATGTTTCAGCAGTCTCTTTATGTATGTGCTGTAAACCAATCCAATCAGATGGAATAATACCCTATCAACACCCGTGCACGCCAGCTAAATACCTGAGATGCTGCTTGTTTAATTCGGCTGCTTTCAGCCCTGGTGAACTGAAATTGCACAAAAGGAGGAGCGTTTCTGTCTGGTCCCTAAAACAATTCAACTTTAGTTGTGCCTTACTCGATGTTGCCTTGGTAGAGTGCTTTTGTAGAAAATCCAGGGTCTGAGCCAGAGCCTTCTTGTTGCTGTGAGTAGAGAGCTCTTCATTACACTCAAAGCACCTGTTATAATAAGAGATAGTCATAGATCAGACAGGCTTTCACTCACTGTGGGAGGCAGACAAATATAATCCTGTGCCGAGAACGATTTACTGACAGAATTATTTGCCTGAAGCAGAAAAAGGTATAAAATGCAGGGGGAAATCATCTAGTAGAAATAAGTCTCCTGGTTCTTTGTTTTTTTATTCCCCTAATGAGAGTTCACAGTTAAGCCGGTGTTTCTCACCAAGCCTTCCACGAGCTCAGGCTGATAGTGATGCAGTGGGATTCTGAATTAAAAGCCTGGTGATGCTTGACAGCGTGTTGGATCCCTGACTGGTTACAGCCCTGTAAGACACGAGACAGATCCTTTCTCAGATAAAAAGCACGTTCAGCCCGGCTGCTCATATATTAATAATAAAAACCCCAACATTTCTAGATGATCACAGTGTGGTGACAAATAGCATGGAAAACAAACACCACAAACTCCTCTTAAATTATGCATTTTATCGTTATCTATTTATCTTTTAATTGTTTTGATAAGTTTTTACTATCAAAAACATTCAGAACACAGTGGTCCGCCCCATTCCATTGTACGTGTGTCGTATTTTTCTCCATTAAACAACAGGAAACTCAAATCTTACTTGAAAACCGCACTTGAGGCACACCAGGATGTCGTGGGATGCTGCCGGCTCTCCATCGATCATCGTCCTCTCCCTCAGGCACTCAGAGCAGACCAACCACACATTGGAGGAGATCGACTTTTTCACTGAGCTCAGGTCCACCGCTTTATTCACATGCTGGCACACAAGTCCTGATGAAATACAATGCATACTGAAGTGATCATAGCTAATTATTTCAAAATGCAAAATGCACACCCGAAGTAAATTTCCAACATTCCAACGTTGAAATCATAGAAAAAAATATAAAAATGAAATAAAAATAAATAAGCTTAGTTAGTTTACAGTTCACGTAGCGAAAGTTAAAGTAAGTTAAAGTACATACTGTATCTCAGTCACCACCTCTACCTCCACCTGGCCGTCTCCTGCATCACCAAGCCTACACCTCCGTTCACGAATAAGTGCCCATAAAATCCCCTATTATTGATCATTTCTTTATAATCTATTTCTTTTTACATCTCTCTTATGCAATCCATTTTTTTTACTGCTACAAGTAATTTAACTGCAGTATTAATTAAGGATTTATCGTAGGTTTTTGGGCTGTGGAACGACTTAGACGAATGACAGTGTATTCTTATTGGAATATTTGAACCAACATACGAATATTTTATAATACGAAGTAGGTGCCAGAATGAATTCAATTTGAATGTAGAGGTTCTACTGTAAATATGTGTACATATACATATATGTACAGACAAATGGCCCTAAATGATTTTCCATACGAGTCTTTGTTTACTCATCCCTTACATGCTATGCTTATCATTTAGATTTCATATTCTTTTAATATATTCAAATTATTTTGTTTTATATTTTTATTTTAAAAAATCCTTCACATATCAGTTATATAAAAATACCCATATACCGCAAAATCCTGCAATCTAAAAAAAATTAGATCCATAAACTGAAATAAATTGCTAAAGTTTAGCTTTTTTTCCCTCTTAGAGCAAAGGAATTAGTCCCATTCAGATTCCTTTAGATTTTAGAGGACTTGGCATTATTAAAACTTGCACAGTATCATGTCCAGGGTTTGACTTACCACTGACTTCATCTGATGACTCCTCATCTCGAGGTTTTCTTGGTTTATTAGTCCGCTTGGTCATATCGGCGGCTTTCAAAGAAAAGGGGTCTTTTAACCGCATCTGGAGCTCTAAAAAGAGGGATCAGAGGGTTTTTCTTCATGAACTCAATCACCTCAAAAACAAGTCTCTGCAGGCCTCTCAATTGTATTATTTTGTTCTGTGTTTGTACAGACAAAATGCTTGTTTTAATTTATTTTACAAAATAGAGGAATGGATTTCAAGTTAGTTTTAAAGAGGGAAATTTAAAAAACATTTAAATAGACATATTTTTTTGTGATAACAAACATAATGAGAATGAGCTTGGATAAGCAAACATTTTTGAAAACATACTACATTTGAGCATGACAAAGGATTACTCAAGAAGGGACTGATAAACGAACTCACAATTAGAGTAATAAACTTTAATAAACATTCTCTAAATTTTGAGTTACACTTAAACCAGTTGATTAAGTAACAATCCATTGTTAAATTCATTATTCAAGACATAATTTAATCAACAGTGTACTGTGCAGTACACCCACTGATTTTGTAGTATATGGCTGAAACATCTGTTCATTGTTACAGCTGAATATATTAAATCTATTCACCATCAATCACATTAAGCACTTCCACTAAAAAGTCATGTTTGCAATGTCAGACAAAGAATAGTTTAACAGACCTTTTACAGCCGACTGCAAGATAAGAAACTCTAAACAAAAATCTTTTTTTTTAATGGTTTACCTCTGGGATTAGTTTACTTCACGTCCTAAGAATACCACACTGTTGACAGTATTTGTTCTGGCAACAGGGTGAACATGTCACACAACCACCAGAACAACCACTTTTGTTGACATCATTACAAAGTAGAATGAAACCCCACTCTTCAACCAAGAATAATGGGGCTTCAGTTCATCCACTTTCACGCAGGGCCAATCTATGAATATCCAATTAAATATACATAATTCCTAAACCATTTAGTGAATACTATGCGAGTGAGAAAAGCCAGCCAGAAAATAGGTGATAATGTTCAATACATAACTGCACATCACAAAGTAAGAACTCTTAGGAGGCCTATGCGGTCAAGGCAGTAAGGCTTATCTTCAAATACCAGGCTACATGCCGTTTACTCATGGCATCTTTAATCATTAGCATAGATATTTTCTTTATTTAGATGAGCCAACATTCTGTACGAACTCACCTCTTTAAGCAAGCTCCTGTGCCTTCTCTTTTAGCAGATTCAAAGCCAACAGTGTCAACTCTTCCTGGCTAGCAAACAAGCTAGCTACCTACGCTTGTCACAATGGATACATACATCAATAGAGGACTTTTATCCAACGAAACATGAAGATATTACGGCATTTCGACGCACACTGTAGCGACAACAATAAACAAGTTATTTCAATGTCTGTTTTATATGCCTTTTACATGGGGAAGCTGTGGGTAGCTTGGACAAGCACCACAAGTCAACATGTGACGCACTACGGCAACTCAGCTTGGCCGAATGCTGCATTCGCTTACCGTTGAAAAAATTTAAGTGCAAGTCGGACAGCATTATAGATACAGTATCCAAAAGCTTTCCCAGTGTAACAAATTAATTAATTAAATTAAACATGTGTAACGATATATGTGTCACTAATCCACAAAAGTAAAGACCTTAAACATCAAAGTTGTCAAATAAAAGAGGCTCCACTTCATGACAACAAAGTGTGTATTTATTGCATGTCTAGCTATTTGATTTATCAGAAGTTAAGTTTTTCTGAGCCCTAAAGATTTTTCAGGCTAAGCCTTAAATTACAGGTTCGGTGTATGATTAATTTTTGTTTAATTCATTTTTAATTCTTTTGTGAATTCTCTTGTGAATGAAAGGTAACCGGTGATATTTAACATGTTTCTGTTACATTATCCTATACGTGTTTTAACCAATTATGTTTACACATTTAGTTGTTCATGAGCCCTGTGTTTTCAGTTGTCCGTCATTCCAGTGACCTTGAATGCATCCGTGTTAGTAAACTTTGAATGTATTTATTAATATAATTTTTATAATTGTTTTTTTTTAAAAATATAATTAGGACCTTATTGTGTTTTCTCATAACTTTGAAAAAAGTTTTAAATGGTACTCTGGATATGTTATCGGTTTAAGAATTTTTTCCCTTCAGGCGGTCCGTAATTGTGCGCACGCGCAGAGCGATTTATTTGGAGCTACTTGTGATAACAAGAAGTCATCGTACGCTGTGTGGTTACGTAGTAAACTGCTCTGCACCGAATATAAGCGCATAAAACGAACTAACTAGAATTTAGCTTATTACACATGGCGCTGAGACGGTGCTGGAGGTCTGCTGGCGTTATCCCACGACTTTTATGGAAAGGCTCCGTCCCACACGCGACTTTTAACCCGGCAGGACGAAGCTATGTGTCCTGCTTTGTCAACGCTCACCAAGGTTGCAGAAGTGAGTGTCGCGTGAACTCACGCGGTGTCTTGTCATTAAATGTGATAGTCGTAATTAAGTCTTAGGCGGTGTATCCTGTGGTGTTGGTTTATCTTTTCAGCCACACAGTCGCAGCTCCGCAGGTTCAGTTCAGAACCAGCATCCACAGACGTGAGTTACGAGCAGCTGAAGCAGGTCCTGGCTGACCGGGAAGCAGTGGTCATAGATGTCCGTGAGCCCTGGGAGCTGAGGGAGTACGGTTTCATCCCCGGAGCCATTAACGTGCCCCGTGAGTGCTGCTCAGTCTACCTAATGTACTCTATCTATCTATCTATCTATCTATCTATCTATCTATCTATCTATCTATCTATCTAT